CATGATGTCAGACAGGTGAGACATGATGTCAGACAGATGAGACATGATGTCAGACAGGTGAGACAGGCTCGTGAAGCTCCTCTCATTTACGTGATGATGAATATTTTTATCCAGTCAGATTAGGTTCTGATACCGGATCAGTTTTTGATAAAAACCTGAAGTCTGACCCAGTCGTCACCTGGACCCATTGGTTCTGATTGGATGTGAGATCTGCCGGACTCCTCCCTCTTCTGATTGGCTCGCGCCTCCTCCTCCTCCTCCTCGCCGCACGCGCTGCTCCTCTCTTCTGTTCCCGTAGTGGAACGGCGTGCACGTCCAGGATCCATGACGGACCCGGACCAGGACTCAGACCAGGACAACCCTTGACCAGAACCGGGACGGACCCGAGTCAGAGCCTCCCGTGTCTCTGTCTCAGCTAAGGTGGATCGAACCCGGTCCGGTTCTGCTCCCTGTTCCTCTGCCGCTGCTCTGTGAGCTGGTTCGGTCCCGGTTCGACCGACATGAGGTGGGTCCTGCCTCGGACCAGAGCGAGCGGGACCAGGTTCTGAACGGGATACCTGCCGCGTGCCAGAGCGCGCGCTCCCGTGGAGAGATGGAGCGAAAAGTCCTGAGTCAGGTAGGGCGGGAGCGCGCATCTGAGCGCGCGAGCGCGTGCGTGCGTTGTTTTTATCCTTTGGTTCTGGTTCCGATAGAACCTCTGAGCTCGCGAGGAGCAGAAGTTGGTTCTGGTTCCAGCTGAAGTCCTGCTGGGCGGCAGCTTGTGGGACGTGCACGCGCGTGCGCGTGTAGCTAAAGATGCAGCACATTTACAGTTTGGGATGAGTAAACTGGACCAGAACCAGAACCTCAGAAACAAGATGAAGCAGCCCAACCATTACAGACCCAGTACCAGGGTTCTGTCAGGGTTCTGAGTTCTGACAGATTCTGACTGGGTTCTAAATGGTTCTGACTGGGTTCTAAATGGTTCTGACAGGTTCTGACAGGGTTCTAAATGGTTCTGACTGGGTTCTAAATGGTTCTGACTGGGTTCTAAATGGTTCTGTGATTATCTGAGGAGCAGAATGAGTCCAAACACTTTTTAACTGAAATCAAACCAACAGAACTTTCTTCAGTTCTGACAGAACTTGTGTGGATGAAGGCTGCTGAATCAGAACCAGAACCCATCACTGGTTCTGGTTCTGGGAATTTCACAACAAAAAGAAAACCCGGAGAGGCTCTGAGGGGTTCCAGCTCTCGGTTCAGCTGCAGGAAGTTCAGATCAGTTCCTCTGAAGTTCTGTCAGAACATTTGGGCTCACCTGAGCCCGGAGCTGGTTCTGTTTGGATCCGGAACCAAACAAGTCTCTGATCGCTCAGAAGAGTTTTATTTATTTTGTTTTTACTTTTTTAAAAATACAAATGCAGAACCAATGAACCGATTCAGAACCACGGACAGAACCCAAGATAAACGAGACAGAAAACTACAGAGTGAGCAGCTTTAGACAGGAAGTAGAATCCAAACAGGAAGTAGAATCCAAACAGGAAGTAGAATCCAAACAGGAAGTTATCAGTAAGAACTTGGTGGTCTCTGGTTGAATCAGACACCTTATCAGAAATCCTAACAGAACCAAAGCCCGGTTCTAATAAAGTGGAACATTGTTTTGGGGGTCAGGGGTCAGGGTTTGGTGGGTCCTGGTTCTGGTTTAGGCAGCAGAACTGAGTGAAAATGTCCTGCTTAGGAACAGTGG